GGAGGAAGAAGATAAGCAGAAGCAGAAACACGCGGCTGATGAGGAAGAAAAGAAAGAAAAAGAAAAGAAAAAGCAATTCATCCTTATCCTAATTTCCTTTCTTTTTAACCCCTCAACTTTTAAAAGTTTTACGATTAAGCCCCAAAACAATATTTTCCCTCAAATAAGTCCCCAATTTAATGCTAAAATACCCCAAAATTTTGGGATATTACATAATTCTTCGGGTAAAGGTTCATAGGCTTTCTAAAAACTTAATTAAACTCAAGTTGTTTATGGTAATTGTTGTTTCTCACACTTATATATCAATGGTTAAATGCTAAATTTAGTCCCTCAACTTTAAGAAATGCACATTTTTTATCCCTCAACAATTTTTTGCATTCTTTTTATCCCTCGACTCTAAAAATTGCACAGTTTTGGTCCCTCCGTCAGTTAAGTATGATGTGACAGTTAAATAATTTCATGTGGCATTATCTTTTAATTTTTTTGATGATGTGGCAATAATATATATTTTAATTATGTTATATAAATAAAAAAATAACACGTAGGTTAATATTTATAGTTTAAATAAAAACAAATAAAATTACCTAACTACCCTCACCCACCCAATCCCTCTTCTTCCCCTTCTTTCTTTCTCTTTCTTTCTTTCCTGCCTTGGGTCTCCACCAGGCTGGATTCCGATGGCTGCAACGAACCCAGCAAGGCTGGGTCTCGTCGAACCTAGCCTGGCTGGGTCTCCCTTGCTGGGTCTCGTCGAACCCAGCCTTGCTGGGTTTCCCCGAACCCAGCTGCTGGGTTTGACGAGACAAAGCTGGGTTCTGATGAACCCAGCTTTGCTATTTCGATGCTAGATTCATGTTTTTTCATTCTTCTTTAGATTTTCATTTCCAATTGTTAATAAATTTGAGAGTTGATTTACAATTTGATTGTATTTTTGTTGGAATTTGATTGGAGTTTGATTGATATTGTTTATTGAAGGGTTAATTTGATTTGATAAGATTTACTAAGTTTGAGGCTTCAATGAAACCCAGTAGCTGGGTTCAATTTCTCAAGTTCTCTTGAGAAAATAGAAGAAGAAGAAATGGGTTAAGATCGGTTTTGTAGAGGAGTGGAGATGAGAGAGCATTAAGAGAAGAAGAAGAAATGGATTAAAATTGATTCTGCAGATGGAGTTGAGATTGATTCTGCAGATGGAGTGGAGATTGATTTTGTAGAGAGTGAAGATGAGAAAGGAAGATGACATGTCGCAAAAAAAAGTCCAAATCAGCACCTTTTTAAGTTATTTTTGCCATGTCATAAAAAAAATATATAAAAAATGCCATGTGACCGAGTTAACAACGAAAATTGACAGAAGGACTAACGGTTCGTATAATTGAGGGATCAAAAAAGTGCAAAAAATTGTTAAAGGACCAAAAATGTGCAACTCACTAAAGTTAAGGGATCAAATTTAGCATTTAACCTATATCAATCACACTTGCACTTTCATTCTGATGTGGGATTTTGAGTGTTACAATCTTCCTTCACTTAAACGCTTGATGTTCTCATCAAGCTCAATTATAATCAGAACTTTAGGAGATGTGAGGTCTTTATTACTACCAACAATTGGCTAAACCCCCCAAATTCATCCCTTATTACATATTTGTCCCTAAAAAAAAGGAATAAATTGCTCCTCTACATTATCGATTAAAAGAAATAACTTATTATTTAATATGTGATAGTGTAACGTTATTACACGTTAAGAATCCGTTTGCCACCTAAACTTGTTTTTAATGAATAGTTAATGTGTGATGACATCAGCATAGACCCACACCTACAAGAAGTAACCTCTTGAATACTAACTAAAACAACTTAAGCCGAAGTCTATCATTAAACTAACAATAATTCAGATCAGAGTCTGTAAGCCCTTAAGCTCAAATTGTTATCGCACTTACACTTCCATCCCAATGTGAGATTCCCATGGCTAAGGAAGAGAGAGGAAAAGAAGGAATCTTAGTGAGCGTGGTCATAGTGACATGGCTGAGGAAGAAGGAAGGATAGAAGGGGAGGGGTCCAGATGAAGGAGGATGAAGGGTGATTTTGTAATATCATACTTTAATAATTTGTTTTTATATTTAATTTAAATGGATCCCATTTTGCCACGTGTAATTAAACAAGTTTTAAGACCTGCGTCAACAACAAATTTAGTCTACATCATTTGAATTTCTTTTCTATAGCATGGCATTTTCATGTCAATTATAATAAGGAAAAAGTATACTTGTTCTGTAAGTTAACATGCCACCTCAGTGCAAAAGCTTACAGAAGGATTGAAAAGGGTAAATAAATTAATTTTGAGGGACCAACAATTGGATTTTTTCAGTTGAGGAACCGAAAAGAAGTTCCTTTCAAAAGTTGAGGGATTAAAATGAAGTTTTAACCATAACTTTCATGTTCTTTCTTCAATACGTTGCTTTCTCTGTTGGACTTTTGAATGCTAGGCCATGCAACCTCTTTGATATACTTTATGATAAAATATGAGGAAGACGTATGTAACTTAAACATAAAATATGTTATTTTTTTAAATGTTAGATTTACTACTAGGAAAGTGTCATTTTGTAAGTTTTCAAGTTTTGAGTCTTGCTTGCCAAAGGTACCTCGTGGCTGGTGCTATCTAGCTAAAACCTTATCATTGTGAGTAGTGATGGCATTGATATTTTTAATTTTCTCCAAATCAAAGATAAATTCCTGTAGCAAATGTAAACCCTTCATATTTGTTTGAGGTTGGAATGGAATTTTACCTCAATATTGTACAGTAAGAACATTAGTTAGCTTAGTTAATTGACTTTTAATGTCCTTAGTTTCTTTAACAGCTTTGGTAAAATAGAGTCAAATTTCTGCTTAGTCATATTTTATGCCTCCATAAATGCATTAAATATTTCGTCTAGAGGAATCCCATTCGGTTGTGCATTGTATTGAGGTGCAAGGTTAGATCCAGGTGTTGATGATTATTTAAAGTTCCAAAGTTAATAATAAAAAAAAAGGAACTTTAATGATTTGAAAATCATACTCGCAACTTGTCTAAATTATGAGATAGAACAAGCCATTTAAAATAGCCTATGCAGAAATTAGGGTCCAAGGTATGGTTAGAAATGACAATAACATACGTACACCTCACAATCCTCCATAAAAATTATAGATGCATATTTTAAAATTAAAAGTTTTATTTCAACTTATAAAAACATCCTTTATTTAATTTTTTACTAAAAAGGGCTTATTTGGAAGACTTTAAATATACATGGATGTGGGTGGAATTTAAAAACTCATGTACCTTACTACTAGAATTTTGCCCTTTTTCCAGCGCTTATTTTCCAATGCAGCACTGCGCTGGCAAATGATAAACTTAATTTCTAGTGCATTGTGCTAGAAACTAACGGTTACTAACATATGCCCAATTTTACCTATTATTTGAGTGAGACAAGTATTTTCCAATGATGGGCGTTGGAGAATAGTACTGCGCCAAAAAATGTTTGCGCACTTTTTATTTTCCAGCGCCTAACACCGGAAAATGAAAAGGATATTAACTATTTAATTTCTTAAAAAATATCAGTAGGTAAAAAGATTGGCCGCAAGATTTTCCAACGCAACACATAGGAAAATAATAATTTAACGGTCACAGTTAGATGTTGAGTGACTGACCTATAATATTTTCCAGTGAATTACGTTGGAAAATAAGTTAGGCCTTACAAATCCAACTAATGGTGCATTTGGGTTGTGATTAGGAGTTTTTTTTATATAACTGCATAGCACTTTTAGATATATATGTGTTTAGTAATATTTGTTCAGATTATTTTTAAAAAAAACTATAAAAAGTCACAACAAATTTATAATAAATTTATATATAAAATTGAAAGTCTAATTTTTTAATTTTTTGACTGTGACTTTTATAGAGAACAACTAATATTTAATATAATTACAAAATTACCTATTAAAATTACTTTTTATCTATTTTAATAATTATATATCTTATAATATTTTTTAAATTTTAATTAATAATTAATAAAATTTATCATATTTTATATATAATACTTTTAAAAAATAAATAATTAAACACCAAATTAACTTTCAGTTATATTTACAATACAATACAATTTAACACAACCATAACCACAGCTACAACCATAGCACTTCACAACAATTCGAAACGCACCCGAAGCCCCCTTTCCTTCCCAAACTCCTTTTGCTCTCCTATAATTTCTGCTTGTCTCAACCGTGCCTTAAGCTGCCACACTTTGTTTTGGTTCAATTACTGCTGTTCGATCGTCGAAAAAGGTAGGTTTAGCAAGATTTCAGCCTATTTGTGTATTTACTCCCCCCTTTTTTTTTTTTTCTGATTTTCTGACCTTTTTTGGCTTAGCAGATCCGACCATCGTCGTTCATCGCCTCCCTGTCACTCAAGCCATAAGATCAAAAGTCATTCCTTTCTTTCGCCGTTGTTCATTGCCTCCCCGCCAGTCAAGTATTTTTGTTTGCAAAAGTTGCCTTATGTGTGATTTTATTGTCACTAGTATCTTTATCTAAATCACAAGTAATTTTGTGGCTTCAGGTTTGTATCTAGTAGCCATATTTTCCAGTGCATTACACTAAAAAATAATATATTCATGATTTACTTTAACAAAAAATTTTCAAAAACGATGGCTTTTTTCTTGAAATTTCTCAAAATTCTGATTATTTTCCAGTATTTAATGTTGGAAAATAAATAATCT